GTTCCAGTTACGAAACACAACAGGACAGTGTTTTTGCGTATCGGGGGAAAAACGGATTGAGGTGGCTTACACTTAATTCAATTTAAAAAGTTATTTTATAACAATATCCATAATTATTTTCTGAAAGTCACAGAGAATCGGAGGATAAATTTCACAATAATATAATTGGCTCATGGCAATGTAAATGCGCCGTGAAATTGTTTTGGCGCGAAAATTGTAAACAGGCTTTGTCAAGCTTATTCTAGTTCTCAACTTTGTACATGAAAACATTGTCATAGCCGGAGTTTTTCCTTTTGATGCACTCGAAGGGAATTGTATAAATTACATTTTAAATAAAAATCAAAGTGGACAGAAACAAGGCTGGTTACTTTCTGTATTTCTCTTTGTTACTGAACAAGATTTATCCACTTTTCCCATTTTCCCGCGTCATAGATACACATCCACAGTATAAATACGTTCATTTATTGATTTTTCTTAGCTCTGTTTAACTGGAGATGGTCCAATTATAGATTGTCAATCGTGCGTAGTATTGATAACAGCTTCAAAGTAACTAAAAGGTTTCAATGTAAACAGCTGGTAGTTCTTCAAACACATCCTGCAGTTGGGACGGCTTGGTGAATAGGCGGGCTCAACATTAAAGCGAAATAAGCTTTAACGTTAGTCGTCACAACCCTCACAGGATACATTGCGTGACGATTCCAGTTAAATCCCTAGTCATGCAATACTTTGCGTGATGACTTTTCCTCAGGAGACTACGAAAAACTAAAACTTGACACTTTCTACAGTTACTGTTTCTCTGCTTTACATCTTGCCAGCATAGAGAGAAAATTCCTGTTCCTGAACTCTGTTTATTTCTTAATCCTTAATCCTAATTTTACGAAAAACAAATGCAAAATTATTATTTAGCTGAGCTCTTCTTGAAAGCCCTGGTAAAAGAACGGTCTGTTTGTTACTGTTTAATCTTAGCCCTTTGAATACCAATTACGCATATATGCGTAATTAATGATCGTGCTCTTTGTACCACTTGTGACGTCATCAATTTAAATTTCATCAGATATTCTTGATAAGCAGATAGT